CAGGCTAAATCCTATAAAGAATGGTTTAAAAAGCCGGAAGAAGAGATAACAGAAATCTTTGGGCAATGATCATTTCTGGGAAATTATAATATGGGCCCCTCTGGAAGGTTCGAGCTAAAAATAGAATGAGTTTACCTGTAGATGCATTTGCAGCCTCACACAAATGATGCCTCAGGGAAGACCTGAATGTTTCTATTTCACTATTATTGTACGGATGTGGATTTGAAATCAACGAGGGTGTTCCAGTCATTTTCTCAGGGTTTTGTGGGTTTCTGTTTAGTGGTGTTGAGGAACTGCAGCTCAGGCCTATAAAGAAATTAACCAGAATTATAGTTACATAATTAAAATGGCACAATATCATTGATATTGTATTCTGGACAGAGAGAGACCCATCTGTATTCTCCCAGGGATTCATAATCCCATTCAACCAGTACTAAGGCTCTACTTAGCACCTTTTGATAGCCTCCCACAGGCTTCGGTATTTTAATTCGGGGACCATTTCTTCATTAAACCAACTGAGAGTTCACAAAACACTGTGCAATCGTTTGCATTCTCCTGAGCTTTTATTAAGCAAGATGAGTGCCTGAGCAAAAAGTTGATGGACTGGAAGGAAGGCTGACTGGGTTGTCTGCAAGGAGGGTCAACAATGTCAAGATGGTGGTCACCACCATGCAGTCAAAGCTCTGCCCCCTTTTTGCTGTGGCCAAAACCTGGCTCATCTAGAGCAACCAAATCACTTTGAAGATGCAACATAAATGTATTAGGCATGCATATGAATACCGTGTACACCAGGCTCCCAGCAAAGCCCTGGCAGCTTGCCCAGCAGCCCTGAGCAAAAGCAGAACCAGAGATGATATACCTTTGGCCCACTGCATTACAAAGATAAAGAAAGAGGAACACACCGTGTAAATTACAGCATGACATTGGGGTGCTTTTGATGGCCCCATCTGGGTGACCTTCTTATTCTTTATCCCTTCCTATTAGGTCAGCATGGCAGCTATATGTGGTTTTATTGTATCTTTATATTATTTTTATTCTATTTTAACTGATACTTATTTGTTGTTTTTACTGTAAACCGCCCAGAGTCACTCCCTTCTGAGATGAGCGGTGTCTAAATCTGAAACATAAATAAATATAAACATAAATATTATCTCTGAGATATGGTCAGTGAATATAAACAATGTGGTTTATTGAGTCATGGGTGCTGTCTGATGCACCCACCCTCCATGGCTCCTCAGGGTCAACTCAGCATGCTGTGAAAGTTTCATTACAAGGGCACTTTAAGCAGTTCACGTGGATGGGGACGTCTTATAGGGTTGGCTCACCTGTGTAAGGGGAGGACCTTTGACCACCACCACAGGCAGCACATTGTGAAAAAGGGGTGGGTTTTGACTGCCCAGTCATGGTTGCCAACTTGCCATTCTGGACTTTGCACCAGATGTCCCCGAGGGCTGATTATTAGAGCCAGGACGTTTGTAGGTAGACCCAATCAAATGGGAGGTTTCAGACAGAAGAACTTCAAATTAAGCCCTGTCAGGGCCAAAGGCAGGGGGCTTTTCCTCACAGCCAAATTAGAGGGCTTTTCTCCAGACCTTGAGGCAGCAGAAAGGTCTGCTGGCATATTTTGCACTGCCCTTCATTGCTCAGCCCTCTTCTGCCTCAAGAATGTGGGTAAGGAGTGAAACGGTTCTTACAGAGTTGATGCAGGACAAGTCAAGGGAAGAGATTGGTGGATTCCCTCAGATTCATTTGCCCGCCCACCAGATGTCACCAGCTGGAAGGAAATCATCCTCCAATCACTCTCCTTAACCTGGGTGGGCCCAGGGCTGGGGGGGAGGCAAGTTTTGACAGATGGCTAGAGGGGTCGTCTAGCCATCTCTCAAACTTCACCCTGGTTTTGCACGTGTGTTTTGTGTGCAGCTATCAGCCAAACAGGCCAAACCTAATGTTGAGTTTTTGTTTGTGTCATGTACAGAGTGGCCTCCCACTTTTCTCCCAGATTCTTCTGCCAGGGCTAGCATCTTAAAAAAGCTTACTATCTGAAATCTGTAGAGGATAGACTTCAGTACAGGTAGTTCTTGTTTAGTTACTACAACTGGGACAGGCAACTCAGTCATTAAGTGAAGCAGTCGTTAAGTGAAACCACGACTGTGCTTACGATCTTACTTCAGCTTTCCTTTGCTTTACAGACCTGTGAAGGTCGTAAATCTGAGAAATGGCCATAAAGTTACTTTTTCATCACTGTTGTAACTGTGAATGGTTGCTAAATGAGGCGGTCGCTAAACAAGGACTACCTGTAGTAGAAATATGCCCCAAGCTTCAGGTTTGCAACAGACCAACTTTCCCATACAAACTTCACAATCCTGTGCATGCCTATTCAGGAATAAAATGAACTCAGGTTTATTTCAATAGAAAGGTTTTAACTTTTGTATTTTCCCCTTTTTATCATTTGTTTCCTCTGTTCTGTCTATTAGTTTTCCAACTTTTTCCTAATATCTATGCTAGCAGTTATTCTAGATTATTTAGGGTTCCTCCCTTAAGATATTTCAGGTCTTGTTTTTCTGTTTTTGTTCTACGTTATCTGTACCTTCGAGAGGAGCAATACAATTATGTTTTTTAAAAAATCTGGGCATCAGAAGCTGTCCTAGCTACGCTTCTATGAGAAAGGATGCCTTTCATCTTTGATTCTTCCTCGGGCCTCTGCTCAGTATGCTGATCTTGACTGTCATGCTCTTATCGTGTTCTCTCCTCCGACAATACTCACGATAAGCCCCCATCACTATCACAGCCACCATCAAGAGAACATTTCCAGTCCAGGCAAGGAGCAAGGCAGTCCGATGCCAGCGAGGGCATAACTGGTGATCTGCAAAAATCAGGCGAAAACATTTGAAACTTTACCCTAATGCTGGTGGATAGGAGCTTTCATCCTACGTACTTTGCAAACCGCCTGAAAATTCTACTAAGCAATAAGAACGTCTCATTAAAAAGGCGAGTTATTGATTCCCCCAGCTCAGCACTTCTCCTCGACCCTCCAGGGTATCAGACATGAGATAGCCCAAGCTTTGGTCAAGCAAAATCATAGTAAATTCCCCCTCTGAATGTTACAAACTTTCCCCCTCTCATTTTGTCACTCACCTTTTTAAATGTATATTGTAGGAAGTTTTAATATATTTTAATGTATTTTGCCCCCCCCCCCTTGGGACCCTGGAGGTATGCTCTGGCCCTCTGGAATGGCATTCCACCTTTTTTGACCCCCATCTGCATTAAAAACTTGGCTTTTCAAAACTTATTTTACATACGTATGTATATGCATTCCTTTCCCTCTTCTTTGTACCAATAGAAGCGAATATGTGTAGCTCAGGGTTGAACTGCAGAGTCCTGGGGGTTCTCTGAGCTTGGCTGTTTTCTTGCAAACATTTCGTTACCCAGCTAGATGAAGATGTTACCTAGCCGGGTAACGAAACGTTTGCAAGAAAACAACCAAGCTCAAAAAACCCCAAGGTCTCCACACCTCTTCTTTGTTTTTGCTTTTTCATTTAATTAATAAAAACATCCTTCAAAAATCTTGGCTTTTCCGGCAGTTTTGAATCAGGGTGATTTATGAATCACTTGAATGGTTGCTATCTGAATATTTATATATTCCCCAGCAGACTTTTATTACTGCATTTGGTCCTATATTGTTTAGGTTTTTTTTTAAAAAAAAGCCTTTAATCCATTTTATTTAATCTACCACCTTTTTTTATTCTGCCTTTATTATGGTTATAAACAACTCAAGGCAGTGAACATACGTAATATTCCTTCCTCCTCTTATTTTCCCACAACAACAACCCTGTGAGGTATACCTTGAGGGTTTTGATAAGCTGGTCCTATAAGATGAATAAATTATTATTAACAATTATATGCTTTTATTGACTATGTTTAATTTATTGTACTTTCATTGTTATATTTAATAATTTGTACACTGCTGTGAGGTGAATAGGTGGGAAGAACGTAAAATATATTAAAATAAAAAAATGTCCAAACAATGGTATCAACTATATTCCAATTTCTAGGAGTCGCTCATAAATCAACATGTACCAAACTATTTTGCAGTTTTTACTGCACCCTGTGTTGGACAAAGTATTTTAAATCTTACTTGGATTAAATACATGACTTCTGTTCCGGTGACCTTTTTCTTAGTTTCTCATTTTTACCAATGTGCCAAATTAAGTTCATTGAATTTGAGATTTAATAAAATAGTTTGAACTAAGTTCCTTGAACTTGATTTTTTTAGAAAGTAAGTCTGAGCTAAAATGTGTATGTATTTGGGGACACATGCCTGGAAATGAGCATTTTTGTTTCCCCAGTATGATTTTTGTGCATTGCTTCACTGAACGTGCACATTTTGTAAAGACTTTCCTCTAATAACCTTTTTAAATTATTGGTGAATTCAATTGCGAACTGGGGTTTTGATAAGTTTTAATTCAAGTCTTGGTTTAAAAGTATAATTTTTTTCAACTGCCTTTCCAGAGAATTATCATTATGTTATTTACTTATTTTATTAAATTTAAAGGCTGCCTGATCCAGAATGACTCTGGACAGCTTATACTTTTAAAAGTAAAGAACAATAAAACAGAAGGAAAAAAATCACATGGATCCAGAAAAAAACCATATACGTATAGCACACCAAAGAAAAATCAACGGGGGCTGAACAACCACCCTACCCCAAAGCTTGGAAGAACAGCTAAATTTTCAAGGATTTTGGGGATATTATCATGGTAGGAGCCATATCTGTCTCAGGTGATGCTGTTCCAGAGGGCAGATGCTACGGGAGAGAAAATTTACTTCCTAGGTCCCAACAGCTGATGCTGTTTAATCAAAGGGAGCTGAAGTGCACCCCCTCTGTCCGATCTTACGGGACGGGGAGAAACTATGGGAGACAGATGGCTTTCAAATCACCTGGTCTTATCATAACTGATGATAAGATTATCATCTTTATGTGTATAAGATTATACACATAAAACAATTATGGTGAAAGAAGCAGAGAACCAACTGTTGTGACAAGGACAGAGTTTAGATAAAAGAAAACTAGAGGTTCAGAGGAAGATAGAGAGGATCCATACTGCCTTTACATCAACGATCTTGCAAGAAGTGGACTTGTATGGTGAAGAATAGACATTCAGAACAACGCATAGCTCCAGGCCACATAAAACTTTAGAGGCAATGGCTGGTAGCCCTTAGAATTTAACGTGCAAAATCACAGGAAAATCATGAGAATAAAATGTGCAAATCTCTTAGCACAAAGTTGACAGACAAAGAACATCTCCAGTCAAGTAATACTTGATACCTAGTCCCTGTTGGATTCCTAGGAGGTTTTTAGAGCTCCACATTGCCAGTGATCCTTCATGTTTCATGCATGGCACAGCAATGCAACCACAGGTTTATGAAAGCACCTAGGTATGGAGTGTTCTGTGTCATTGGGAACATCAAGGGCCTCCAAGCTGTGGTTAAATTTTGCACAGTTAAATGTAGCCTGGAAGACATCCAAAGCAAAGAACATCCTTCTATTTTCTGCATGAGAAGATGCAACAGATGAGTTCCAGCCCTATGTATAATATTTTGGATATTGTAATTACTCCTGTTATTACGATCATTATTACATTATAACTCATGGTTTCGCTACAAGCTCAGTGCAGCGTATGTACTGGGCCTCCCCTCTGTTATCTGCACAGCAACAATCCTTAGAGAGAAATTAAGGTGGGGAAATTTGTGACTGGCTCAAAGTCACCAAGCGAGCTTTGTAGCCAAGTGGCAACTTAAATCTGGGTCCTCATCTGCACCCTTAATTAGTACTCCCTACTGGCTATGCGGGCTTGCGTTTTCACTTACATGGCTATAAAAGAGGCTGAAACGGAAAGTCTTTCAGAAAATGTGCTGCCTTTCTCAGTTTGAGAGGCTGTCCTGGAATAAATGAACTTACCTGCCTGTTGGACAGGATCTAACTGTGTGCTTCTTCTGGATGAGGAATCTTCAGATAACTTGATATCTGCATAGACTAGAACTGCATCCATGGTCAGCTGCAACCCCGAATAGAAGAGATATGTATAAGTGAGATGTTCTCAATACGCCTACACATGACTCACGGAAATGTTGTTGATCTTCACTACGTATCACCTCTCCTAAGTCTAGTGCGTATTCTCTGCTCATGAACAGTTGTGGTTATATGCTTCTACGCTGAAAGAAGGAAAATCTCTACATACAGCTGTAATAAAATGTGCTTTTCTGTACGTGGTTTCCAGATGACAGCGCAGATGAGTCTAAGAGTTGCCATTGTAAGCTACAAAGGAAAGTAGGGTAAAACGTTTGCATTTTTCATTGTGCTGTCCTGTAACAGGCCAGTAGATTCAACAGGTGGGACTCCTCCCCACCCACCCAAAATAAATTACATTTCCTCAAGATGGCAATCATGCCCAAATCCAGGACATGCCATTTCATCTGCTCTCCTCTTTTCTGACTTTCTCCCTCCCCTTCTTCAGCCACCCAGAATGACATGGCCATTGAGTATGATTGACTGTTATTTGCCTATTTCTGAAATCCCCCTCCACTTCAAATGATGCCACCATCTCATTCATCCTCATCCCCCTGCAGAAAGTATTGCAAGATCTTAAACAACATCCATTTTGTAGCCTAGCAATGTTCTTCAGAACAAAAAGAAGATGTGCATTACCAAGTTATGAATACAAACAAGGGGCCCGTGTAGGAGGTCCCTCAGAAGCAGTCCTTGACAGTTAGAGATTGCTGTAACTGCCTCTCTCTTTTTTTTTAACAGTTGTTATTTTCCACACTTAAACTTGCTGCACAGTTTCAAACAAGCAAGAGCTTTGTGTTCAAGCACTCCTCCTGAAGTTAACATGCAGAAAAAGGTTTCCAGTGCACCTGAACACAAATATTGGACAAGTGAAAAAGGCAGAGTAAACCTTGACAACTGGGGCTTTGGGGGGGAAAAACCCAAAGTCCATATTGAGGTCAATTTTTCTAGAGTCACAAATTTTCAGTTTTCTGATAGAGTTTATTTTCCTGGCTATGTCCTGATTCCGGTTGCCTCCGTTTCCCTGAAGTCTAGCATGTTCTCCAAGCTATTGCTGTCCTTACATGTGAGTTTGCCACTTATTTCAGCGGCTGTTCATCTTAAAGTTCTCTGTTTTAAGAAAAAGGAAGTTGGGAGAAGAACATTTCGTGGCCTTTTATTCTTACAACCAGGATAGAGGTAAGCTGAAAAAGCAGAAGTGAAGGATGGTGCAAAATATATAGAATGCCTCAACTGTAATAAATCTGGAGAAGGAACTTTCAGATCAGTGTTGAATTACACTCCCAGTAAACCCATCAGCCTGGCCAAGCACAAGGAATGCTGGGAGTTGTAGTTCAACAGCTTCTGAAAGGTACCAGGATCCCAACCCTAAACCTGGATGATGGCTTGGGGCTACCGAATAACACACTTGAAACAAAAACTCTGTTAATTGGATATTCTGGGAATTGGAGTTCTAATGTAGTTGGAGAACACCAGACTAGGAATGTGCTACGGCTGCTTAACCATGTTATATTATATCTGACATGGTCTGTATCGGATTTAGCAGGGCAGCCCTATCGCTGGCCAGACTGTGGCAGCCATCTTAAAGCAGCTGTCTTTTTACTTTTACAATCACGGAGAGATACTGAAGAGTTATTTTCTCTCAGCTGCTGAAACACCTCAGGTCTGAGGAGTGAGCTATTGTTTACTGCATTGGCTCAAACCACATATGTAGATCGACCGTTCTTATTTCCTGTGTATCAGAAGACATGACAGCTGCTATCTCTGGTCAGAAAAAAGGCAGGCGTAAAGCTCTTTTGCAAGCAGAAGAGGAGGAGGAGGAGGACCACCTTCTCTTTCTCTCTAGTGTGCAGTCTCTTATTAACGGAATGCTCCTCCTAGTATGGTTTTCAGATTGTAAATTCTTCAGAGCAGGAATTATAGTCTTTTTTATTTTCTTGTTACATACTGACAATCAGTATGAAGGGACACCTACCAACCGTATTTAGATGACAACAGAGCCTGGTAAAGAGATCTATTTGACACAGAGCTGGAAGGATGTTTGAATTTTGTTATCTGGAAGGGAAGGTCATTGCTTGAAAAGGAAAAAAAAATGGTTTCCAATTTGTTTGCTTCTAGGTTTGAAGACCCCAAGTCTTTTGTAGTGAGTGGCCATAATGAATCTAAATAATAATAATAATGCCTGCAAGCAAGAACTGGTGGGACCACAAAACAGACAAAGTAATCGAAAATGAAGAAGCTAAAGTGCTCTGGGACTTTAGAATTCAGACAGAAAAGAACCTGCCACACAACACCCCAGACTTAACCATTGCTGATAAGAAAGACAAAAAAATCTGGATAGTGGACATTGCAGAATAGAAGAGAAAGAACTGGAGAAAAATCACAAAATATAAAGCCCTGCAAATAGAAGTAGAATGACTAAGGCAAAAGAAAGGAAACACAGTACCAATTGTAATAGGTGCCTTGGGTGCAATCCCAAAACATCTGGAGCACCACTTGAAG